GGAGAGGTGGACGGATAAATTAAAATGTCGAAGCTTAAATGATTTGTATATTATTGAAACACTATAAAAGACTTCATACTTTTAATTTTTTTGAAGGCAGTAGGTACGTTTCGAAATGTTTGAAAAATAATCTTTGCAGAGCATTACTCAGCAGAAAGTCATTGGAATTCATGAGCGTAAAATTGTAAAATCTGTTTAAAGCAGAACGACGGCTTTGCATTCAGGAAATCATAATTTAACTATTAATTAATTAATTAGGTCTGAGGTGGGTCAACGAGTATGGCTGACAGTCTTACGGAACGCATAAACTAGAATTGCTGTACCACTCGCTCGCTTTGTAATGATCACTCTAGAACACCTTTCTGTCCTTCTGTTTCCAGATCAATGACTTGGAATTGGCAGTTAATAAGAGAAATTTGAAATTTTACATTTCGCTGGGATGTAAAACCGCCACCTTTGCAATTCAGAACACAGTTCATACTGAGTTATCGTTCCAGTAGTGCACACACTGAGAAGCGAATAACTATATTTCTAGGCACACAACACCAAAACATTGGAGAGAACCATGCCAGTTTCGACCGATTTGCACCTTTGCATCCTAAATTACTTGACTCACATGTTACTGTAGTTTTCTTAATTTAACGAATTCAGACAAGTCAGCTGTTTAGTTGTGTACCTGTAGTAAGGATTTCGTCGTTTGACATTTTGTCACCTATCATCATGTTTTTCGAAGCATCCACTTGTTGTTATCACCCATAAACCCATTTGTCTGTTTCATCCTTCAAATCAGTTAAGAAGACTTGTTTCAGGTCTTGGAATTTTCCGCTCAATGGTTTCTGTTCCTAGTGTTAATTACTTCTATCAACATACCTTTTGCTTTTTCGGACTCCTGCTAGGTTGGTTTAAATCTCATGATCTGCATTGCACGATAGAGCTTACAGACGACCTAGAGCGGCTAAAAAGCTCATAAAACTGGAAAATGATATGAGAGTTCATGCACTGTCAGAGTACTGCCACCAATGCGTTCTACTACATGTTCTTTCACGTTAGACGTACTCGTTCATCAGCACTAAACTCCTTAAAATTTACTTAAATAACCCCAGCAGTCAGAACATTTAATCCGGCACCTACTAAATGATGCCGTTTATTTCTTGAACCGTTAAGGTTTACTGTTTATTAAAGTTTTATTGTTTCATTCTGGGCACTTGCCTTGTTTAACTTTTTCAGTAATACTCATTAAATTTCTAGTGCTTGAAGGATCACGGCTGTTATGCATAGGACGGAAACAAATAGAAGTTGCTAATCTTGGAGATGTCAGTATCTTTTATCCTTTCTTGACGAACATTGCTTGTAATCCCGCTATCCATTTTGACGTTATTGGCTAAAGTCTCCCTATTCTTCAAGGCAATGCCCAATGTTATGGTATTACTGTAACAGCATTTTTCTGCGATCTTCCTGCGCTTTTATCAACTTTAGAAAGATGAAAAGTTAGCGACCTATAAGCAATTAATGTTCAGTCATTTCGCTTTCTACTGATTATTTGGTGTTCGAAGATTGAGCATTTCTTTCGTGCACTGGTGTTTATATTGAAAACTGAAAATGTATAAAAACGGTTTATTTGTGCACAACACTGGCAGATTTGTTAATCAAGTGATTGACAAGCACCGATGTTAATGCTCTTCTCTCATCCTATGGCTCTGATTGTCACAACAGCTGCGGGCCACCGAAAGAACTGAAAATCAACCCGGAGCACCTTTAAGATTGTCCGTGATAGATGGGCTGAAACATCGGTATTGGTTATTCACCTTATTGATCAGTTTGCTTGCGCTCTGTATAAATAAAGCGGTTTTATACGTTTTATATTTTTGAGGGTTTGGCGCTGTTCCATTAAATAATCTTCTTCTACTGAAAATGCATTTCCAGTAAATGCATTGTGACAGTTTTCGGCAAATTCATTTATCCGCGGTATCCTGCTTGAAGTTGGGGCCAGGCGTGTTAGAAAATTTTTTCTCAATTTCTATATTTTTTAAAAATGTTCTGATTCAGCCGTTTGATCGAGATAAACTTACCAAAACCATAAAGATCAGTGGTATAACAATTATTGCTCTAACTAGAATGAACGCAGCCTAAAGCGACTGTTTGGTACTTTTCCAGTCGTCTCCTTTGTGTATGTCTAAAGCAAAATGTTAGATGAGTGTAAAGTGGACCGATATCCAAAATGTTAAATAACGTCCCTTTTTCCTGTGTGCTGTATAGGTTTGAAATTACTCAGATTTAAATAACCGTAATAAATTATCTCTCATTAGTGAATCATTTCTGCAGTAAATATCATTCAGAATTCATTTATCTTAGTTATAAGCAGTTGAAGTTCAATCTACTTCGCGAAGAAAGCGAGGGTTACGCCAAGCTAATAACGGAGTTGACGAAACATGCGCAGTACGTTGAAAGTGCGCAGGGTGTCCTCGAAAGGATCCGTTGTTTGATTGGTAAGAAAACGTTAACCTGGTCGCTTGTCGTCTTTTCTTTCGTATGTGACCGAAGCTTGTTTCAGGTCAGTTTAACTTGGATCCAAATCGAGTGCTGGACATCATCCTGGAATGCTTCGAGTCGCATTTGCAAAGCGATACGTTCGTGGATTTGCTACGGTTGTACGGCAGTACGTCGTCGAACATCTGCAGTATTCTCGGTTTTAAGCTCAGTCACACCGGTGGCAGCAACAGCAACAAAAACTTGCATCATTCCTCGATGAGTCCCATTGATTACGAACCGAGTTCCATCTTTCGTCTTGCGGCAATTCTCATTCATTACAATCTATTGGATATGCTGTCGCTGTGTCGTTATGTTAGTGCTGTTTTTTGTTTTGACCCGTTTCGTAACAAAAAAAAGTTTAGCTCACTCCCAAGTTGGAAACTATTATCCAGCAGGTGAAATCTTCAATTGCTAGCGCTGCTCAGAGGCAGAAAAAGATGTCGTTTTCATCGATGGCCGCCAACAAGGAAATGAGCAGCAGTGGCGACTCGCATTCGACCGACGAAGTACAGCTTTCAGGCTGCGATTCATCATTTTTAAAATTTTACTTTCTAGGCGATTGTCATCAACCAGAAACTGGAGCTTCTCTGTGCCCTGCTCGAAATCGGTGAATGGAAACATGCCAAGGCACTGCTCGACCGTCTCCCAGAGTTCTATGCCGTTCGAAACCCAATCGTTGCGACACTTCTTTGTCGCTTCGTTGACTACCTCATTGCCGACTTCTACGCGAGGTTGAGACTGCCTTTCCTCCTTACTTTCGAATTGCTTTAAAATTTAATAACAAAGCCACCCAGCCTGCACGGTTTTAATGGGATGCTTAGTGTTTGCGAGGCAAGAAGAGATGCCTCCCCTTTGCCTTACGTCACTGTTAAATGCTAAATTAGCGGCGTAGTGTTTCTACAATATGATGTACAGTTTTGTCTATTTTAATTACAGTATCAATGCTACAAAGTGCTGTCGG